ACACTGGGGGAGTAACAGAGAGAGAGAGGGGAGGACAACACACTGGGAGAGTAACAGAGAGACGATAACGCCACAAGCTGAGAGTAACAGAGAGGGAGGGAGAGACAGAGTGGGGCGTGAACATTTTAAACTCTCCTTAGAGCACACAGGGGGCTGGATTTGGAGAAACTGAAGTTGTAGTAAATCTCTCAGTTGTTCGAAGTGTGACTGACTGACAACTGAGAATGCAAGGTTACTGAGAGATTGCTACAACAAACTTATATGTTCTGACATTTTAGGCGCAAACCGTTGTACCTGCGCACACAAATACCAAAAAAAACCACACATTAACATCTGAGATAACAAGGTGTAGAGCTGGATGAACACAGCAGGCCAAGCAGCATCAGAGGAGCAGGAAGGCTGACATTTTGGGTCGAGAGGGTCGAGCTTTCCTGCTCCTATGATGCTGCCTGGCCTGCTGTGTTCATCCAGCTGTACACCGTGTTATCTCAGATTCTCCAGCATCGGCAGTTCCTACTATCTCTCCCCAACACATTAACGTCACATGTTATTTTGACAAATACAGACAGTTCATCGCCCTGAGCACAGTGAGGACACCCACATCCCGGAGAATTTGGGTGATGCTGTATACTGGCCATACAACAAGCAAAAGGTGAAGCTGCAGTTCAGTTTGAAGATGGTGCGGAGCTGTGGGGGTCAGGTGAAGGATGCTACAGCCGAGAGCTGTGATACTTTACTGCCAGAGGGCACCGGGAGGTGGCACGGTGAAGACGACGGCGAGGAAACCTGCTGTAAAGTTCTGAGCCGCAGCCTGAGCGGCGGGGAGGCTGTGGGAGATATGTGTGCCAGTGTGAAGCCATGCAGTTTGCTGGTGGCACTGAATCGTGCCTCGCTCACCATAGTACAGGGGCGAGGTCCGCTCTGCTCGTCGGGGGTAGTGTGCCCAGTGTGTAAGGAGAAAGAATGCAACATACACACCATCGCTGTCAGTTCAGAGGCGAAATCGGAACTGTACTATTTGGAAGGTGAGCGATTTCTTTCACAATGATCCTCTCCGCTCAGTAGTTCTGCAAAGTGGGCTAGTGTAGGTTAGACTAGATTTGTCGGTGTAGCATGAAGAGCCTTTATGGTACTGTTTGCCTGTATGATTCCATTCTTCAATTTTTATTTGGTGTTTTCTCCCAATATTGTTTGTAGCTACAGGCATATAGGGATTGGACACAAAGCTAGTGCAAACATTGACATTTATTTGACCCTAAGCTGCATACAGAAGCATTGTAAACTCTCACTCCTATCTTCCATCAGGTCTCTGTCCCATGTGACCACATTTCATTTGGGGCGGCAGTGGTTAGCCCTGCAGCCTCCCTGCACCAGGGACCCGGGTTCGATTCCACCCTCAGACGATTGTCTGTGTGGAGTTTGCACATTCTCCCCGTGTCTGCGTGGGATTCCTCTGGGTGCACAGGTTTCTTCCCACAGTCGAAAGATGTGCATGTAGGTGAGTTGGCCATGCTAAGTTGCCCATCATGTCCAGGGATATGCAGGCTAGGTGGATTGGCCATGCAAATTGACCACAATGTCCAAAGACGTGCAGGTTAGATGGATTAACCAAAGGAAATGCAGGGGTAAGGGGTTGGGTCTGGGTGGGATGCGCTTCAGAAGGGTAGCATGGACTCAAAGGACTGAATGGCCTGCTTCCACACTGTAGGAATTCTACGATTCATTATGAAGTAGCTCCTTCTGCAACCCCTCAGTAGCTATTGCCCGAGTATCAGTACAGTTACAAGTTTAGGATAACTAACCCTGGACAAGTCTGTAACTAGCAGGGTTCACAGTTGCCAGGGCCATGTCCAGACATATAATTGCCAGTTGCGTTCTGACCATTTCCTTGCGCTTAATGAGACTTCAAACAATTAATGCTTGTGTGTATCATAAGTGTGGGAAATTGGGCTTCTGGTTCCAAACTGATTGGATAAGCCAAGATTAGAACTGTCCAATCCAGTCCATTGTCCCCAGTCAGAATGCAGAGCCTACTACCACTTTCATCCTTTAGCTGTTTTTTTTCCATGGAACGCTTGTCCAAATCTTTTCCATTTCTGAGTGACTTGAGACGTGATGAGGAACAGAACTAGCAACTGAACCATTCAGAGAGATAGTCAGCCAGGTGTTGATAGGGGAAGGCAGTGGCAATGTCTCTGGGCTAGTAATCTAGGTTGAGAATTCGAATCCCCGTGCCACCAGGTGACAACCGGTGGAATATAAAGTCAATAAGTCTGGAAGATGATTAATATCAGTGGCTATTAAACTAACATTGATTGGTGTAAAACCCCATCTGGTTCACTAATCCCCTTTACAGAGAGAAATCTGCTATCCTTACCTGGTCTGGCCTACATGTGACTCCAGACCTACAGAAATGTAATTGACTCTTAACTGCCCCCTGAAATGGCCCTAGCAACCCACTCAGTTCAAGGGCAATTAGGGGTAGATGACAAATATAGGAATATTACAACACACGTGGGCCATTCTGCCCCTTGATCTTGTTCCACCATTCAATGCGATCATGTCTAATCTGTGCCCTAACTCCATATACCTGCCTTTGGCCCACATCCCTTAATACCTTTGCTTATCAAAAAAAAAATCCATCTCAGATTTAAAATTAACCACTGATCCAGCATCCACTGCCGTTTGTGGAAGAGAGTTCCAAACTTCTCCCACCCTTTGTGTGTAGAAGTGCTTCCTAACATCTCTCCTGAATGGCCTTCATCCTAATTCTCAGACTGTGCCCTTGGTACTAGAATCCCCAACCAGTGAAAATAGTTTGTCTTTATCTACCCTGTCATTTCCTGTTCATATCTTAAAGATTTCAATCAGATCACCCCTTTACATTCTAAATTCTAGAGAAAATCATTTGTGCAATCTCTTCTCATAACTTCATCCCCTGAAGTCCTGGCATCATTCTTACTAATCTACATTGTATTCCCTCTAAGGCCAATTTATCCTTTCTAAAGCGTGGTGCCCAGATCTGCTCACAATACTCCAAGTGAGGATCTGACCAGTATTTTGTACTACTGTAGCATAATGTTTGCATCCTTATTCTCCAGTCCTCGAGATATAAAGGCTAGCATTCCGTTAGCTTGTTTCCTTGTTTTCTGCCGTATTGTAAAGATCTATGCACCTGAACCGCAAAGTCTCTTTCACCATCCACTGCATTTAACGTCATACCTTCTAGAAAGTACCCTGATCTATCCCCTTTTTGTTTTGTGTGGTCCAAAATGGATGATCTCACATTGAACACCAAGTGGCCCATTTGCCTAGTCTAGCAATATCCCTTTGTAATTTTATGCTATCAACTACACGGCCTACAACGCTGCCTAACATGATGTCACCAGCAAATTTGGACACATGACTTTCTGAGCCATGAATCAAGTCAATAAATAATGTGAATAATTGGGCCTAAAACCGTGGGATACCACCAGTCACATCCTGCCAATTTGAGTAGCTCGATGATTATTAAACATGACTTATAGTTGAAGGAATAATGGTCACAGTAAGCTATCTCAAACGCGTTTACCCAGTAATGGGTACTGGTAGAGATGGCACATACCATGAGATGCCAATAGTAGGATGATGTTCACAGAGGTCCATAAGTCCACCCTCAGTGCAGCATTCACTTATCTTGCTAGATAGCAAGTGAACTGCGCAGGTCCTGGAGGGGAAACGAATGCCCTGTACCCACACTGCCACATCAGGGCAGAGACTTTACCTCAAACCTCATCTGCCTGTGCCACTCTCCTGCTGCTCTGTTGCCACAACGTTTCTCCCCTGTCCTTCCTCCGGCCCCTAAACTGCGAGGCGACCTCTTCCTGGCATCATCAGCCCCTCGGTGGTCCTCTGGGTTCCTGTACCAAGGACCAGAGTCAATTCCTTCAGCACAACTGTATCTAATTGCAAGTCACCTTTCTATCCCAAGACTGTTCCTGGGGAAGCTTACAGTCTCTTTGGAAGGATCCGGTGAAAATCTCTCTACTTAAATGGCAAAAGCAAAGCGTTATAAAATCCTCAGTTTGTCCAAAGCTGAAGAGCTATCCACTTGTGTGAAAAGGAGAGAAACCCGTAGAGAACTGAAAGAACAAATTATCATTACTCTGTTTATTTACCAACCTTTCAAAATCACCATTACCTTTCGGATCGAAAGAATCATCTATTGGATTAGTTAAACATGCATGGCGTCTATATAAAAAAAAGTACCCTTTTGTGGAAATATGGCTACTGCTAAACTCAAACCCCATATTGTAGGATCTTAGGCAGAAAATATCCTGGACCTGACACTTTTAATCCATTCTTTCAGACAAGTGTGTGTATCACTGGCAAGCTCATCATTTGTTGTTGGCCCCTAATTGCCCTAGAGCTGAGTGCCTTACAGAGGGCATTTGAGAGTTTCCCCCTCATTGCTGTGGGTCTGGAGTCACATGTAGGCCAGACCAAGTAAGGATGGCAGTTTCCTTCCCTGAAGGACATTAGTGAACCTGATGGGTTTTTACGACAACTGATGATTGTTTCACAGCTGCCTTCGCTCTGAGTTGCTTTTAGTTCCTCACTTTTATTGATTGAATTGACATTCCACTAGCAGCCTTGGTCGATTTGAACCCAACGTCCCGGTAGGTTACCAGCCCGGTGACATCTCCACTCTCTCACCAGCGGTAATTGGATTGCGTCTCTCTACAGAACAGATGTCCCCCGGTGATTGCTGTGGGATGATCATGAAAGTAATGAACAGTGAATACCCATTCCTAATTCACAACGAGAGGAACCAGTACCTCCGGCCTGGCAATTGCTACCAAACGATAGTGCTGAGCCAACAGGTTCCTGAGTCTGGTAGGTGCCTACGGTTTAAATGGATGTTTTCGCCTTAGTTAATGTCACTTTGCATTCTTAATCAACCTTGTTTATCCCCTTGCCTCCTGGCCATATGACTGCCAGCTGGATCTGAGGCAGAGATCAAGACCTCCTCTCTGCATTTAAGTCCATTGGCTGTGTGTGTGTGTGTGTGTGTGTGCGCGTGTATGTGCGTGTGCGTGTGCATGTGCACGCATATGTGTGTGTGTGCGCGCATGTGTGTGTGCGCGTGTGCGTATGCGTGTGGAATCCTGACAGGGTCCCAGAAGTGTCCTGTATTATTTGCAGCAAATTGTGCGGCATTAGGTAAGGCGGAGATATTATGGATGCAGTGTTCCTCCTGGCTTACTGTGTCCCAGGAAGGTCAATGTGCAGTCGGCGCCTGTCTGTCTCTGCAAGTTATGTCTGGACCGTCGGAGAGCCAGGGAAGGACTGTACAGTCGCTATGTGTAGTTAGTGTGACCTGTCAGTCCAAAGCAAAGCCCGAGGCTCCTCCATCACTTCCTCCTGAGTCTAACACTTGTATCCACCCTGTCCCTGAATGTTGGCCACCTCTCAAACCTTGTATCACCTAAAGGAGACTGAGTGTCTCTTGGAACAAACCATTCGGGTATCTCTCCTCCTCTGTGAACTCGGATTTTGGTTTGACTCTGAGCCTGAGTTATTTCTATGTCTGTGCAGAAACTTACTACAGACATCAATAGCTGCCTCTCCAGGATCTCCCACATACTGCAGTTACCATACATGACCTTCCCTGCACTGTCTATTGAACCAATCAATACCGATTATTTAATCAGTTATAAATGACTTTTTGAAAAGTTTAATTGATTACTTACTGCATTTGATTCATTTATTTAGCAAAGCAATGGTAAATTACTGTATCCTAACTCTGAGACTGAGACACATTGCTGGTTTAAAATTGAAATTACCAGTACTCACCACCAATCCCGATGTCACTCCTTGACTTTCTAGTGATTGAGGTGCTCTTTTGTGGTTCCTATTGTCAGAGCACTCTATCTTTGGTCCATCCAGCTCCGCTTACATGCCCCTAGTCTCCTTTGTAATGTCCTTTCATTTATTGAGGACAGAAGAGAGGTTCTATAATAAAACCAGCAACTGTAAGATGTATTGTCTCAGTCATGCCCAATTTATGTTTCCTTCACAGCCCAGCTGACAATCTTTTATTACAAATCCAACAAGATTCTCAAACCATATTGCGGGCTGCCTGTTGTGCTCAATTTTTCCAAAACAAACTATTTCCTGGCGTGTAAGACTGAAGGGAGCAATGTCCTGCTCAGGATAGAGGTGAGTGAGCCAGTGTTGCTCTCTGGTTTGTTCGGTTCAGCTGGCTATAGGTGGAGAAAGCTCGTTGCTGTCCCTAAATAGGCTGCAATGTTTGGATATTAGGGCACACGAGAAAAAAGTCATGGAAGCTATTTCATGACAGAATGCTTTGAATCTGACACATGCTCCACCTTAAACCTATTGTGCCCAGGTTTGAGTTTACAATGTTAGGTTGTCCGATATGAGGCAAAGAGTGGGTTGGAGGAGCCAAAGTTATGTCAACTCCCTCTTACCACCTCTCCCCCATTTCCCCCTCCCCGCAGACACATGCGCAGACATAGACACACACACAAACACACACACACACAGGCATACTCTCTCTCACACACACACACGCAGGCATACTCTCTCTCTCTCTCTCTCACACACACACACCCACACACAGGCATACTCTCTCTCTCCCTCTCACACACACACACACACACACACACAGGCATACTCTCTCTCTCACACACACACACAAATACATACACACATACTCACATACACACTGGCATACTCATACACACACACATACTCACACATATGCACACTCTTACATACACACAGACACACTGTCACATACACACAGATATAATTGCACACACACACACATGCTCACCCAGACACATACTCTCTCACGCACATACATTCTCACACCCTCTCACTAATTGCACACACAGACACATGCATTCTCATGCAGACAAACTCACACACTCACTCACACAGACGCACATTCTCTAATTTTCATTCACGCTCCACACACTCACATGCACACTCACACTCACATAACTTCCCACTGTACTAAAGTTGAAACAGAGTTAATGTCTGGGTTCTCATTCACAGCACAAAACCTGATGGTTTTATTTCACGCTTTCTAATACATTCTGGCACTTTTGTCAATCAGTAAAGGAATGTACTATATTGTGTAAGGATTGTCAATGCTAATCAATGTAAAAGTCACTTTATCTTGGATGTGATAAATCATAGCATTTAAAAACATCTACATCACAATGCAGCATCTAATAATAGCTCATAAAGATTTCTAAGCATTCTACTCCTAACTTTTGGAATTTTGTTCAATTTATTCATGGCATGTGGGTGTTGCCGGCTGGGCCCAGCATTTCTTGACCGTCCCTAGTTGCCCCTTGAGAAGGTGGGGGTGAGCTGCCTTCTTGAACCACTGCAGTCCATGTGTTGTGGGTTGACCCACAATGACCTTAGGGAGGGAATTCCAGGATTTTGACCCAGCGACAGTGAAGGAACAGGCGATATATTTCCAAGTCAGGATGGTGAGTGGCTTGGAGGGGAATTTGCAGGGGGTGGTGGTGTTCCCATATATCTGCTGCCATAAGAACTGTAAGAAATAGGAGCGGGAGTAGGCCGCTCACCCCATTAATCCTGTTCCACCATTCAGTTAGATCATGGCAGATCTGGCACTCCTTTCACACCCTTTCCTCACAACCCTTGATTCCCCCTACTGACGAAGAATCTATCTATCTCAGCCTTAAATACACACAAAGACTCTGCCCCCACAGCTTTCTGCAGCAAGGAGTTCCAATTCCTCCTCACCTCAATCTTAAATTGCCTCCTCTTCATTCTGAGACTGTGCTGTCTGGTACTACACTCTCTCATGAGGGGGAACATCCCTCAGCATTTACTCTGTCAGGCCCCTGAAGAATCCTATATGTTTTAAAGAGATCACTTCTCATTCTTCTGAACTCCAGTGAGTAGAGTCCCAACCTGTTTAGACTTTTCTCATAAGACAATCCTTCCATTCTGAGGATCATCCTACTGAACCTTCTGTGAACTGCCTCAAATGAAATATTTTTTCTTAAATAATGGGACCAAAACTGCTCACAGTGCTCCAGATGGGGTCTCACCAGCACCTTGTACAGTTGCAGTCAGACCTCCATACTCTTATACTCCAATCTTTTTGACATATGGGCCAACATGCTATTAGCCTTCCTGATGACCTGCTGCCCCTGTGTGCTACCTTTCCGTGTTTTGTGCACAAATACCCTCCAGCCCCTTTTTGTTGCAGCTTTCTTTTTTTTTTCCTTTATTCATTCGCAGAATGAGGGCATCGCTGGCTAGTCAGTATTTATTGCCCAGAGGGCAGTCAAGAGTCAACCACATTGCTGTGGGTCTGGAGTCACATGTAGGCCAGACCAGGTAAGGATGGCAGTTTCCTTTCCTGAAGGACGTTAATGAACGAGGTGGGTTTTTCCAACAATCGAAAATGGATTCGTGGTCATCATTAGATTCTTAATTCCAGATATTTTATTGAATTCAAATTCCACCAGCTGCCATGGTGGGATTCGAACTCGGGTCCCCAGAACATTATCTGGGTCTCTGGATTAACAGTCCAGCAATAATACCACTAGGTCATCGCTTCCCCTTCTGCGGTTTCTCTCCATTTAAATAATATCCTGTTCTTTTGCTCTCCCTTCCAAAATGAGCAGCTTCGCACTTTTGCACATTCTACTCCATTTGCCAAATTTTCACCCACTTACTTAACCTATCAATATTTGCCTGTACCGAAAACAAAAAATGCTGGAAATCACAAAGGGTCAGGCAGCATCCATGCAGAGAGAGCAATCTAATGTTTTGTGTTTATATAATATTTCTCTGCAAATTGTTTGTATCCCTCTTACAACTTGCCTTTCCACCTATTTTCATGTTAGCTGCAAATTTGGTGAGAACACACACACTTCTTTCCTTCAAGTTGTTAGTATATGTTGTAAGCACTGATCCCTGTGGAACCCCACTAATCACCTGAAAATAAACCTTTATTCCCATTAGCTGATTCCTGCTCACTAACCAATTCTCTTCCATGTCAATATACTTCCTCCAACACCAGGGGTTCTTAACCTTTTATGAACTATCTCGTCAAACATCTTCTGGAAGACCAAATACAACACACAGCTACTGGTTCCCCTATTGTCACTCTGGTTGAGACTTGCTCGAAAAACTCTGAAAAATTAGTCAGACATGATTTCCCTTTCACGAAGCCAAGCTGATTCTGCTCAATTAAGTTATGATTTTCCAAATTTTCTGCGATTACTTCCTTAATTGATTCCAAAACTTTCCCCAACAATAAATGGGGAAATACAGGCTAATACAAAATACAGGCTAATCAGCTTATAGTTACCTGCTTTTTTCCCTCCCTCCCTTTTTGAATAGGGGTGTCACAGTGACAGATTTTTGGAAAATTGCAGCCTTATCTATCCACCATCTCTGTAGCTACTTCTTTTAAGATCATAAGATGCAAGCCATCAAGTTCGGAGGACTTATCTGCCTTTAATCTTATTCGTTTGTCTAATACTTATTTCTCTGGTGATGGTGATGGAACTTAATTCTTGAGCCATATTCATTAATATTAATGGGATGTTCAAAGTATCTTCCACAGTAAAGACTGATGCAAAATACCTGTTTAACTCTTCTACCATTTCCTTGTTCCCCATAACCATCTCTCCAGATTCATTTCCTAAGGGATGTATGTTCACTATGACCTCTCTCTTCCTTTTTATACATTTGAAAAAGCTCTCACTGTCAGTTTTTATATTCCTCACTAATTTGTCCTCGTAACATTTTTTCTCTCTGTTATCTTTCTAGTCGTCTTTTGCTGGATTCTGAATTTATTCCTGTCTTCAGGGCTATCACTGATCTTGGTCCTGATATGCTTTTTCGTTCAACTTAATACTCTACTTAGCTCCCTTGGTTCGCCATAGTTGGTTTATTCCTCTCTTAGAAACTTTTCACCTGACTGCAATGTATTTTTGCTGAGAACCATGACTTAGCTCCTTTAATGTCTGCCAATGCTTGCTCACTGTCCTTCCTGCTCATCTTCCCATCCAGTCTACTTCAGCCAACTCTATCTTTTATTTCATTGTAATTCCCTTTACTTATGTTAAACCCAAAACTTCCAACCCAAGTTTCTCACCCTGAAACTGAACATTATATTCTGTCATGATATGATCACTACTTTCCAGGGGATCTTTTAACCTGAGGTTATTATAAAAGCTGCCTCATTACCCATTACCAGATCTAAAATAGCCTCCTCCCGAGTTGGCTTCATGCCATAATGGAAGCATAGAAACATAGAAGATAGGAGCAGGAGGAGGCCATTCAGCCTCATAGCTGATCGTCCAACTCAACAGCCTAATCCTGCTTTCTCCCATAACCTTTGATCCCACTCACCCCAAGTGCTATATCTAGCTGCCTCTTGAACACATTCAATGTTTTGACATCAATTATTTCCTGTGGTAATGAATTTCACAGGCTCACCACTCTTTGGGTGAAGAAATGTCTCCTCATCTCCATCCTAACTTGTCTACCCTGGATCCTCATACAGTGACACACCCACCATCGGGAACATCCTCCCTGCATCTACCCTGTCCAGACATGTTAGAATTTTAAAGTCTCTATGTGATTCCCCCTCATTTGTCTGAACTCCAGCGAAAACAATCCCAACCTAAGCAATCTCACCTCATATGTCAGACCCGCCATCCCCAGAATCAGCCTGGTAAACCTTTGCTGCACTCCCTCGAGAGCAAGAGTTTCCTTCCTCAGAAAAGGAGACCAAAACTGCACAAGGGTCTAGGCCCGAAACGTCAGCTTTCCTGCTCCTATGATGCTACTTGGCCTGCTGTGTTCATCCAGCTCTACACCTTGTTTACACACAGTATTCTAGGTGTGGCCGTACCAAGGCCCTGTACAACTGCAACAACACATCCCTGCTCCTGCACT